GTTTTTGTTTCTTATTTATTTGTTTAGCAAACTATAATTATAAGTATATGCTAATAAATGTATTTCTAATTTCCTGTCTATGATGTATAAGCATATACTATCCTTTATACATTAGTATATATATATATATATATATATATATATATATTATGCATGTACAAACACATCAGTTTATAGGGAGCTTCCTAGTCTCATTTAGTGACCTAAAATTCACCTCTTGTTGTTTATACATAATTTTTAACTTCCAGACCTGGATCCAACTACCACAACTTCAGGAAAAAAAAAACTGAGCCAATAACATCACCAACTATTACATTGTCTACATGGTTCACACAGGCTTTAGTCCTAAGATTTCTTCACCTTTTTCTAACTTCTCCAAGTCACTATGTTTACCAACAGCCTTTCACGCAAGTTGTCCTGAATGTATTGAAAGCCAGAAAATGATCAAAATGGAGAAACTGCCAATTTTAGGACAAGACATTAATTCTCCAAGTATATGGAAAAGAATAGAAAGAGCAGCTTTAAACTTCAGATTTTTTAAGATAGGAAGTTGTTATCATAAAGATATTTAAGAACCACACTTGATAGCCTTAATTGCTAGTTTTAACTGAAGTATTGCCACAATTTACAACAGAGAGACTATTATACACAAGGGAGTTAAAGATTGTCAAAAGCAACTTTTAATTGCTTTGCTTCCCAACAATTCATCCCGGATGAAAGTATTTCTCCAGGGAGTTGCCTTCTATAAATAAGTATGGTATTGCTTATATATCAATACTTTTTGTGAAAATAATGTCATTTTGGTGGGTTCTTTGGGTTGAAGCATGAGGAAGCTATTAGATGAATCACATTTGTTTTGTAATGTATATGTCAGCCACACAGAAACTGAGATCTGGAATCTGATGCTGAAAACAGAGGGAGCCAGAAGTCTGTTTTGAATTACCAGCACCAGATACATCTTGAGCTCTTTGCTTTAAAAAGTACTTAGTCTAGCTTATATCTGACCTGGACAGAGTTTAACAAGTAGAGAAAGAGTGAGTACCTTCCTTCCATTTGTCCTAGTACTTTTTAACCTCAGTATGTTGAAAGACCCTCATGTAGACTAGTGTCCCCACAACCCTGGGGGATTTCCTGACATCACCAGAGGGCCATCACTCACATGCTGCAGCGACCACATAACAATGTGTTCTCTGATTATCTGACCATTTCTGCTTGGCATATCATTTCTTTTAGTTTTTAATATGCAAGAGCACTTTATAATGTAGTGGCTACAAATCTTTCCTCTGGCACAGTGCATTAAAATACTTTAACCTATTCTGTGTACAGTCTGTTTCACTTGCTGGATAATGTTGCTAAAAATCTAGACCTAGATCTACACTGTTTTCTTCTTTTAAAAATGTTTCCAACTTGACGCATGACTTTGGATTCTTGTAACTATATGCATTTTGGCAAAGTTTTGTCTGTATTAGGGGTTCAACCCAGAACTTTTTCAGTGCTAAGAAAGCACTTTTGCCCAGCTATTCTCAGTATGGTAAATGTATGTATGTATGTATGTATATGTATGTATGTATGTATTATGTATGTATGTATGTATAAATCTTATTGATGTCTAGGTTTGAAGAACTTTGGCATATCTGTACCCCTTTTTGAGATCCATGTGGTGTGTGTGAAAGTGATTGCCTAGGATGTACAAGGCCCTGTTCCTTTTCCCAGATCTGTATAAACCACAAGTGATACTTGCTTGTGCCTATAATCACTGTAAGATCACACTATAGGTTCAAGGCCAGACTGGATTACAGAACTTATTTCTATTCTATAAATGTGATATGCCTGACAAAACTAATGTTAACATTTGTGTGAATTAAAGGGAAAAAATGGAAAAAATATTTTCATTAATTCAAAGTCCATTACTATGGTCTCTCTATCCTGATAGTTTTGACGTCTTGTCCAAGATACCATTATCAAAGGTTAAAACCATATAGATTTTCAATAATGCTATATTATGCTGGCATTTTCATGGTGGTCTGTTACATGTTTGAGTGAAGTTTTATGGTTGGTTTGAGAAAGTGATCTAAAATAATTATTTCCTATGCAGCTATTTAATTAGTCTAGGACTATCTGTTTAAAAAAAGTTTTTTTTTCATTGAATTTTATGATTCACTTTTAAAGCACAATTTATCATTGGGATAACACAATGAATCATGCCAGTTCTAGTTTCTTAATCTATGTTGCTATAATTATGAAAATGGCTTATAGTATTGATTATTATAACTAATTTTTATGATGTGGAAATATGAGACTTCCAACTTTATTCTTTGCTTTCAAACTTGCGTTTATTATTCCAGGTTTACTGCATTATGATGAGCATTTTAGAATCATCCTGTCAACATATACAATTACAGGAACAGGGTTCTTCTTTACAACACATTGGACCAGAAAATCAATTTGAAAAGGACTACCGCCATTTACCTGAAGTTGGTACATTTGGTACCTGAACATAGAATTTATGTAAAAAAGCTTCTTCTTCTGTTAACAACATCTTACAGAATTTTTCCTCCCCAATTCTTCCCAGATCTTCCCCACTTCCTCCTTCTCCAAAATCCCTTTATTTCACTCTTTCATTAGATTACAAAAAGTCACCTAAAAACAATAATACGATAAAATAAAATAAAGCAAACCAGAATAGGACAGAACAAACAAACAGGAAAAAAGAGCCAAAGGAAAGTTCAAGGAACACACAAACACACAGAGACACACACATTTGTACAAACAGAAAACCTATAAAAACAAAATAGGAAAATGTGATTTTTAAGTAAAAGATTTGTACAGGGGAGGGGTGAAATGCCTAGACAAAGCACAGTGAAACAAAATAAACAAATAAAATAAAACAACTCAAAACTGAAAATATAGCATTGTGCTCATTTTCTGTTGGATATCTGCTCCAGGCCGTTGGGCCTGCCTTAAGTGTAATTTGTACACACAGTTAGAGTCTATATTGGTCAAAACTCATTTTTCCTCTGCAAATAGTTATCACTTATAAATAAGTTCTGGGTTAGGGATGGGAACTTGTGTCTACTTCCCCATTTGTGGCTGGAGCCCCTTATGTAATAGACTTATGCAGTCCTTGTGAATGATGAGTCTCTGTGAATTTATGTGTGCATTGGTCCTAATGTGTTTAAATGGCCTAATTTCCTCGATATTCTCCATTTCCCACTGGCTCTTATACTCTTTCTGCCTCCTCTTCTGCAGAGTTCCCTGAGCACTGAGGAGAGGAATTTTATGGAGAAGTCCCATTTAGAGTTGAGTGTTCCAAGGTCTCTCACCTCTGCACATTGTCCACTTGCGGGTCTCTGTTTTTGTTTCCATCTACTGCAGGAAAGAAGCTTCTCTGGTGATGGCTGAGCAAGACACTGATCTATGAGTACAGCAGAATGTCATTAGGAGTTATTTTATTGCTTTAGCCTAACAGTAATATATGGTTTTCCCTAGGTCCCTGGCCTATCTAGTCTCAGGTTCTTGTCCACCCAGGCAGTGTGGGGCATGGATTCCCTCTTATGGAGTGGGCGAAGTGGATCGTGGTTAGTTACTTCCACAACTTTTGTGTTATTATTGCACCCGTGTATCATGTAGTCAGGTAACCATTGTAGTTCACAGAGTTTGCAGCTGGGTTGGTGTGCGCATTTCTCTTTTGATAGTATGCAGAGTTCCTTCCAGTACCATGTTAATTCAGAGTTTGCAGCTGGGTTGGTGTGCGTGTTTCTCTTTTGGTAGTATGCAGAGTTCCCTCTGGTACCACGAGTACTAGACAGTAGGGGTGAAGGCTCTAGGTAGGCACCCGCTTGGCTTCTCTTTGTTCAATGAGTTATGTAATAAGGTCATATCATCAGCTTGTGGCATGAAACCTACAGCCTTGGCAATAGCCTGGCTTCATTGAAGGTTTCCATGGGACCCCTTTGGCCAATAACTTGTTTAGACACAACCTATTCCTGGCACTGGAGGTTTTCTTTGGTGGCAAGAGCTGTCAAGTTGGGACTTTGTCTTCCCTGTTATTTTCTTATTTCAATTTAGATTTCTTTAATAAATGTATATATTTTAAGATGCTTCTACTAGGTTATGTTTCCATATGACCCTACATGAAGATAAAAACAGGGAGGGAAAGTGAAGAGGGGACGGGGGCAGCTAAAACGTCTTACAATTGTTAAGTGCACAGCCATTCATCCAATTCCTTAATTTTTTTTCTATGTAGGTCACTGCTTTCATGTTATTTCAATTTGGTTGCTTTGTTATTTGTTGCAAGTTTGTAGAAACACTATTTACTTGTAGATTGTTTTATATTCTGTGACGTTATATAACTCAAAATGTAGGTAGTAGTTATTGCTTGTAGATCTGTTGGAATTTAATATATACAACATTATATCATTTACAGAGACAATTTTCTCTTTTTCTGTCCTATCAGGCTGCTTATAATTATACCTCGTTTCTCCATTGTCTAAACTAGCTCCTATAGTATGAAACTGAAGAAACATGAATAGGATAGAAAATCTTTTTTTAAAACCTAAGGGAGGGGTGAAGCCTTTTAGACTTTCACCATTAAGTATGATATTGATCATTGATTTTTTATCAATACTGTCATTATCTCAACATGTCAAAAAGTACTTTCTTTCTGCAGTCCTAATATGATTACAAATTGGGTATGGAAATCTATTGAAACACTCCAGTCAAGTTATCAGAGTAATTTTCTGTGATTTATACTTGGATATTATAAGCCCTCACATAGTCTAGAGCATAAATGATGATTGTCCTGTCTGGATATTGGATTACATGCTTCATGAATTTGGGCTCCAGGGCTCTGGCTAAAAATATTGAGTAGGAACTTGCAGAGAACTGGAGATATCTGCTTGAGAAGACTCAAATTCTTTTACAAACTTTATTATGTAAAAATACCTTAAGTATCTGTCTTAAAAACCTACTTTTCTTTCAGAATAGGATCCCAGAAGAAAATGGCAGAAGGAAATTATTCCATTGTGAAAGAGTTCACCCTCGCTGGATTAACAGAGAATCTGGGACTCCAGCTGCCCCTGTTCTTCCTCTTCTTAGGAATCTACATAGTCACAGTCCTAGGGAACCTGGGCATGGTTGTGCTAATCCTGTTCAGTCCTCACCTGCACACCCCCATGTATTTCTTCCTCAGTCATCTGTCTTTTGTTGACCTCTGCCAGTCTAGTGTCATCACACCTAAAATGTTGGAGAACTTTGTAATGAAGAAGAGTGTTATCTCTTATGCAGGATGCATGGCTCAGTTTTACCTCTTCGGTCTTTTTGCTGTTTCAGAATGTCACATGCTGGCTGCCATGGCATATGATCGCTATGTGGCCATTTGTAACCCCTTGCTGTATAACGTTACCATGTCCTATAAGGTGTGTTCCTGGATAGTAGTTGGGGTGTATAGTGTAGGCTTAGTTTGTGCTACAGGTGAAACAGTCTTCCTGCTTAGACTGTTTTTTTGCAAAGATAATTATATAAACCACTACTTCTGTGATCTTTTACCACTACTGGAACAATCTTGCTCCAGTACGTTTATCAGTGAAATACTAGGACTGTCTTTTAGTTCATTTAACATTATTTTCCCAGCTCTGACCATTCTCAGCTCCTACTTCTTCATCATTTCCAGAATCCTAGGCATTCCTTCTACTGAGGGCAGGTCCAAAGCCTTCAGCACTTGCAGTTCCCACATCCTGGCTGTTGTTCTCTTCTTTGGTTCTTTAGCATTCATGTACCTTCAGCCATCATCAGTTAGCTCCATGGACCAAGGGAAAGTGTCATCTGTATTTTATACCATTATTATACCCATGCTGAACCCCCTGATCTACAGTCTAAGGAATAAGGATGTCAAAGTTGCCCTGTGCAAGTTTATAGAAAGAAGACAATTCCTGTGAAACGGAGAGCTTTGTTAAGCAAAACTTCACAATTGAGGAGGCTTTGATAAGGATACAGAAGAGACTCAGGACATCCTTGTGAGTCCTGAAGGATGCAGTGCAGAGATGCATTGTCATGTGTCACAAAGGATATAATGCAGAGATGCAGGGCATCCTCATGGGTCATGAGGTTTTACTAATGTTTGATTGCTTTAAATAAAAGTGACCAGGGTCTGGGGTACCCCATAGTCTGCCTGCCCAGAAGTACCTATATCACTTCTAAATAGTTCTTAAAGAGCAAATAAATCCATATAGTTGCTTTGCTTTATAAGCGTGGAACACTGTTCTTTTTAAGTGAAATTTATTTTTGTTAAATCAGAGACTAATACTTTTGTCAGTAACATTTGAATTGTTTAATTTTTGGGCTTTTATGATCTTAAAGTATTATCTTGAAACTATGTCTTTTAAATAAACAATTTTAACCATTTAAAATATAAAATGCAAATCTTTATTTTTACTGCATTCATAGAAATATGGTAGACAATATACGTATATGTCTACATATGTAGAGACTGAATCCCTTATCCACATAAGGGCAGGGTTGAATGTAGTATTCTCTCTGTCACAGTTTCAGGATTATATCACCATCTCTGCTTCCTAACTATTTTTTTTTTAAAATTCCCATAACCAAAGGAAAGATTTTTCATTTCTTTCTTTTTTTCAACACTCACGACATTTACAAAATTTTAGATTCAAAAGAGGCATTCTTGTACTGAAGCCATGACTCAGAGGTTGAGAGCAAACTGTTCTTGCAGAGGACCCCATGGTGATTCCCGACAGACATGTTGGGCAGCTCCCAATCATGTGTAACTCCAGCGCCATTGGACCCTCAAGCACTGCCCTCAAGTGCACAAACGCAGACTCTCTCACTCATATACATGTAACTAAAAATAAAATATTTTAAAAGTGACATTATTTTACAATTACTTCCATACCACCCACTTACTCACGTGGAAAAGGTAAAATGGGAAAATCGTTTTCTGACTAACGATTCCCAAACTTACTGTCCATTCTGCAAGCAAAAAGTATTGATATTTTGAGGAACACGGAAAGAAAATCCCAAATCCCCCCACTCTCCCAAATGGAGCTCTTAGGATGTGCTAGTGACAAGCAGGCTCAGTGCTGTTCCCCCCGGGAAGAACCGTCCCCATCACCACGACCTAGAAGCTGGTGCCATCCATAGGCCGCTCAGTTGCAAGACCTCCCTTGGCGTAGCAAATCCAAGGTGAATTCTCTAGTCTCTCCATAGAAATGCTTCTCAGACTCTTGCAGACTATGAACTTCTGTTTTGTTTCTGGGGCATTCTACATAGCTTTTGGTATCTGTGCCCAAAGAATGGACCACGTGGTATGGAGTCTTGTCTGCTTGGTTAAATCATCTCTGGATTTTCTGCTTTGTCTGTTGTCTGCCCCTTAGCTAAGACGGCTGCCTTGATTTCCCAGTTCTTATATTTGCAGGTAGTACGTATTAAGTGAGTGGTTTAGATGTATGATTTGATCTCTTAACAATAAAAGGCTGCTCACAGGTCCGGCTGTAGCAATTGTATTTCACTTACTGTACTCTATCGCCCCCTGGTGGACATTATAACATTTTTTCCACCTGAGCACAAGGTAAATAAAAACTGGCACATGGGAGGGGTAGAAGGGAGGAGAGTAAGGGGAAAATGTTGTAATTATATTTTTATTAAATAAAAATAAATAAATTCAGGAACCACAAAAGGTGAGTTTTAGAACGACGCATTTTATCATGGGGAGATTTAGAGAAAGAACAAAGAAACTCTGAAGAGCAGACAGCCTCCAGGAGTGGAAGACTGTTGAGTCTTACCATCTTGGGTTAATAAGGCTTTACAGGACAAAGGAAGGGAGGGGGAAACGGCCTAGTCAATCAGTCCCCATTCCAGATGGCTTGTGGACTGTTCATGCAGTGGTAACCTGGCAAACTTTGTTCCCTGATGCTTCCAATGTCTGGTCCTGTGACCTTCACCTCTCTATTGCTCTGATTCAGTTTTCAGTGTAGGCGACAGCTAAGATCAGCGGCATGCTGTTCTTTTCTCTCCACACAGCAGCCTTGTGTCCCAAATCTCAGAGTCTGGTCTATAACCCAGTGCAGAGGGAGCTGGTGGTGAAGTCAGGTGTCAAGTGTCACTAGCTCTTGACAGTTCTTCCTGAGGATGAGTTTCACCTTGGTTTCCATCTCTCCCCTGTCTCATTGTCCTGTACTTATAACCTTCCACTACATAGAGCCCTCCCATGTGAGTTACAGATTGATACCCTCTCTTTCTCTCCTTGGTATAGAGTAGACGTTTCATATCTTCTGTCTCTTGCTTCACTAGGTTATACAAAGGCAGCTTTGCATACAAAGGATGCAGTCTCTAGTCTTTAAACTCAGTCCCTCACAAAGCAAAGAACATGGACAAATTGTAGTCAAGTTCTTTCCAGAATATAACATAAATGGCTTATAGCATAATTCCCAGTAGAACTAAAGTTTGTTAGCACAGTTGTCTCAGTCCACACTTCCATTGGCATCCTGGCATTCTGAGAACATGTCATAATTGCCCTTTAAGCTCTGCTTACAGACTCCTGTGTTTCTGGCCCACATAATCTAAATCCTACAAAATCCTATTTCAAACCCATTTCATGCTCAACAATCATCTGGTAAGGTACTCAGGATGATTAACCTGCTCTTGATACCTATTTCTTTGTTTTAATTTTATCCCTGTGACTAGAATACCAAACAAACAAACAAACAAACACCCACCACAGGGCATATTCCTTTTTCTTTTTCTCCCAGTTTGAGAAGACACAGTGCATTATGCCCGGCTGCAGTGTTCCTAGGCTCACAATGAAACAAAGCATCATATGGTGACTAATCATCTTGTGTTAGTTAGGGAGTAGAAAGTAAACAACAGAAGAGGATCCAGTGTAATCATCAAAGGAATGTCCCGAATGACACACTTCCTTCAGATATGTCCCATTTCCAAAGGTTTACACCACCTCACTAAATAGTGAATATGTCTGTCACAATCATTTAAAACATGAGCCCATGAGGAACAATTTATATTCAAACTGCAACAAATCTTTCTCTATATCTATATTTATAGGAACTTGACCCACATTATGAACTAATTAATGTATAACACAAACACACATGCACATATATGGTGGTATTGCACGTATATTGTTCTGAGATGCTTTGCAAGGCTATATGTATTAATAATCATATTGTCCCAAGAATTAAAGCAATTTTTAAAAAAAGCATAATGATGGACAATAGACGGAAATTAGTATTCATGAATTTTTAATCTTCTGAGGATTTGTGCATGCATAAAACATTAAAAGTGTTTAGATGAGTATATATGTCAAAACTTTGTAGTAATTATGAGTACTGGAAGATATTACACTGTGAAAATATTAGCACAAACATCAAACTGATCCTAAAATGCAGATGGAGCTCTACCACAAACAGTAACAAAGAAAATAAAGGAGAATAAAAAGTACAAATATATACAGTTATTAAACTCAGTTACAGAAGAAAGCACTCAAAGGTTTTAGTAATCTAGAAAAATGTGATATAGGGATGTATTTTACCAGGTGGCTAACTTTCTCATATAGTGTTTATCTTTCACTTCTCTATACAGACATAAATTTCCAAAATAAAGAAGTCTCTTAATTATAATTAGCATATTTGGGGACCATCAGGAGGTGATTGAGGAAGACTTGGAAAAATAATTTTCTTTTTCTTTTTTCTTTTTTTTGGATTTTCAAGACAGGGTTTCTCCTTGTAGTTTTGGTTCCTGTCCTGGATCTCACACTCTAGACCAGGCTGGCCTCGAACTTACAGAGATCTGCCTGGCTCTGCCTCCTGAATGCTGGAATTAAAGGCATGTGCCACCACTGCACAGCTGGTAAAATAATTTTTACTTATATTTGTTATAATTAGATATAATTGTAAACACATATGAGGATATACACATACATACTGCATATTGTCTTCAATTAGAAAATAATTCATGTGCTCTATAGTGACTCATAACATATAATCTCTCTCTAATTTTGTATTACACATGGCTTGGGTCTTTGGTCTCAAATAATGGCTCCAGATTCAACCTGCATCTGCTAAACTTGCTCAAATGCAGAAAATAATACTAGTGTTGAACAAAATAGTATTTGCTATATGTCTAAAATAGACAATATTCCTGTAACTACAAAGGTAGAGCAGAAATGATTATATCATGCTCTTTGAGGAAACAGTAAGTCAATATAATTTTAGATTCACACTTACAGGTTATCTTCATGTCCTATGCCTCTTCATCTAATAGAAAATAATACTAGTGTTGAATAAAATAGTATTTGCTATATATGTAAAATAGACAATATTCCTTTAACTATAAAGGTATAGCACAAATGATTATATCATGCTCTTTGAGGAAACAGTAAATCAATATAATTTTAGATTCACAGTTACAGGCTTATCTTCATGTCCTATACTGCTTCATCTAGAACAGTGGGTCTCTACTTTCCTGATGTTACGACCCTTAAATACTGTTCCTCACGTTGTGGTGATCGACCCCTCAACCATAAAATAATTTTGTTTTTAGTTCATAAATGTAATTTTGCTACTGCTATGAATCATAATATAAATATCTGAGTCATGATGCAAAGTTGGAGGACTGCTAATCTAGAAGCAATTTCTTGACTTCATCTTGTCTTTCCAACTTTTGCACACCCTTTAGTGACTAAATTTTATCTATTTCTCACTAATTCATGTTATAATCAGGTACATTCTCTGGTTCATTACCTAACTCATCTGATATGAATTTCAGTTTTTGTCCATAGACACTGTTCTTATTTTTAAAACATGTTAAATTCTGTAAGGGAAAATAGCATATTTCAAACATGGTCCCATAGTTCAGACCTATGTTTTGATATTTACTCATGGAAAACATCATTCGTGAGGTATAT